CCAACAACAGCAGTGCAACGTATGGAAGGATGTGACCCTGCTGCCGGGGTTCTGACCATCGCTGTTGAGCGTTTCCACAGTAGTCTTGAACTTGTTCCTGAAATGTCCATCTGGCCTGTTGCCTGGAGACGTTTAACAGCAAAGCTGAAACATCTCACTGGCATGGTACTGCTGATCTACTTCTGAACAGGGAAACTGCATCTCAGACCATCTGTGAAAATGCAGAAAAAAGTAAATGTTGATCTGTGTAGCTGACTCAAGACTTCTATGTTATAGGGGGGGAACAAACCTCAGCTTGAGCAGAACGTCAGCCTTGAAGAGATTGCCTTTGATGAGCGCTGTAATAGCTTCACGTAAGTCCCAGCTTGTCCTCAGACCTCCTAGTCCTCTTGTTAATCTGTTAAACAGGTTCCAAACAACTCGTATGGAAATGTTTTTTCTCATTTTTCTTGATGAATGAACTTAGTGTGATCCAGAGTGTGTGTTTGTGTTTGATGCAGTGGAGCCGACCTGACTGCATTAGTGAGGGAAGCGTCTGTGAACGCCCTGAGGGCCTACCTGAAGTCCCAGCACTCCTCCGCTGCTGCTTCTGGTAACCTGACTCATATCTGTGAATATACCTTTTTAGTATTTAGCATTTTAAGATAGAATTGTAATACTGTATGGGGATGGAAGTAGTCATTGGAAAGATTCCCATGGTCTCACTTGATTGTTCAACTGTTACTGTAAAACAAGATTGTGTTGTGATCATTGGCTTAAAGGTGTGTGCATCGTTACACACAGGTTCAGCGTACACCTCTGACTCTTTCACTGACATCAGAGTGAGCAAACACAACTTTGATGAGGCCTTCAGGAAAGTACGTCCATCTGTGTCCCAGAAGGTAAGGAAGTGAATCATCAGTACAGGGGTTGTTCTCTACCTGGAATTCAAAAGGCCCAAAGCATATAATACAAAAAAGGCTGAATGGATTTGCTGATAAGTAAAACAACAAGCTATCCTGTACTGGGTCAGTAGATTTCTATTTGTGTTTGTTTAGTTTAGGTTTTGCAGTCTGTGTCTATATCTTAAAGTATCTTGATCTAACAGGTGAGCTAAACTAAAAAGCTTTTGGTAAAAACATGCTGCTGCTGAACTCCACCCTGGAACCATCAAAGCCCACTTCACATCTTGGTCCATGTGTTTACATGACACTTCACACTCAATTGGTTTGTTTTGTTTTACTTGATATTGATAATTTCATAAATGTATATTTACATCAGTAAACAAAGTGGAGATATGTTTGTGGATCCTCAGGTATAGAACTAGACCACACCACGGGTCTGTAGCCAGAAGTCACACAAGATGTTTAACAAAGAGAGAGATACAAAAAGAAAACATGGGGTCCAAAGTATCTTTAGTAAATAATCTTGTACATTTCTACAAATGACTCCTACAACCTATTGATCTCATACTGATCGAAGGATGTCACATTTTGGTACTTGAAAGGTTTCCACTGTAATACGTAGTGTTTGCATGTCTTACTTCTTGTATTAGACCTCAGCATCATGAAATGAGCTGAACATCGAACAGTTGGCTGGTTATGGTGTTGTACAGGTAGTTCGTGAGCGCAATTCCTGATGCTGTGGACATTTTCAGACTGTTTCAGTCCCACAACCTAACTGCTATTGAGTAGATAGCAACTAGCCTCAGACTATTCTTACAGTCTATAGAGTTTCTTTCATTTATATTTTCTACCATTGACACCTTTTTTTTTTTTTACCTATTTATTATTTTACATATATATTTCCTGTTTTGTCTGTTGTTTTTTGAGCCTACTGCAATGAAATTTTCATCTGATGTGCCCTGTACTGTGTGAACTGCAGTGACAAAGTCTGAGTTTAAGACTAAACACTGCAAAATACTGCTTTTAGTAGTACTTAAAAAAAATATATATACATCACACATATTGTCAAAAAATATTTGAGCACCATAGAAATGACAAACAGCTGAGTGTGGAGTCTTGATGGACAGACTGTCATTCTCTCTGCTTCCTCAACCAGTGAGGTTTGTTGTGAAAAGTGGCGGGAAGGGACAGGGTTAACATCCTTCTTGAGATGTGTTTCATTTTGAAGCTGTTCTCTGAGTGTGCCGCTGTGTTCCATGTGCAGGACCAGAAGATGTATGAGCAGCTCAGAGACTCCCTCAGCAGATGACTACCAGACCAAAACCAGCAGCAGTTCAACTTTGACACTGAGTCTGGAGAATGATTGTCATGTATGTACACACATTTTATTACACTTGAACTGTAAAACGGATTTCTGATTTCATAATAAAAATTGTGACAAACTTGCGTGCCTCCTTGTCATTAGACGTGTAGACCAGTCAATCTCAGGGCTGTCCACTCTGAGGTGAGGAAGCTCCACTGAGCAGTGCTGTTGATGGCTGGACTGTACTTCACACTGCATTATCACTGTTCTTATGCGGTACGGTTGTCTGTGTTCGTATTCAACATGCTTGTCCCAGGTCTCACTGGAAGACAATATAATATAGTATAGTGGGTGGCTGTAGCTCAGGTGGTAGAGCAGTTGTCCTCTGATTGTAAGGTTGGCGGTCCCCGGCCCCTCCACAGTCGAAGTGTCCTTGGGACACCAAGACGCCGAACCCAAAGTTGCTCCCGATGGCAGGCACCTTGCATGGCAGGTCTGTTGCCATTGGTGTGTGAATGGGTGAATCAGAAAACATTGTAAAGCGCTTTGAGTGCTGCTAAGGTAGAAAAGTTCAGACCACTTACCATTTATAAGCACCCATCATAAGAAGTTATTGTGTCATTATAAATCCTTTGACTATCTCAGGAATGATGGGTAAAGATCAGAGGGTAAGATACACTTTACTGATCACCAGGGAAATGAACATGTTGCAGCAGAGCATGGTGCAGACGTTGCTGTCAGTGATCCTTTGTGGTCACTTAATTTACAGCCTCATGTAGCCTTTATTTGGCTAACTACTGGGGTACACAGTCAAATTAAGACTTGTACTCTTAAAAAAACATTTGACTCGGTGATGAAAATTGTTTTCATAGCTGCTGACATCTCTTCAACAAACCCATGAGTTAATACCCCAACTCCACTGATACATATTTAATCAGCACATTCACAGGTCAGAAGATTAATTGGAAAAAAATGTAAATGAGTAAAAGACCACATGGGGCTTAAACTTGACAGTTTACCTGTGCAGAAATGGTGATGACTAAGAAATACAGTTTATACAGTTTGAGGCTGAACAACTGCAGTGAGTTCGGCCACATTGGACCTGTTGCCTGCATCTGGATCAAGGCATCTGGTCTAACCAATCCCTGTCCCGTCCTGCCGTGCTAGACTGGTTAGCCTATCAAAATAGTTTAAATAAGGTAGTTTACTAATGTACCCGGGTCCATGCTAAATACAGACAACTACGTTGTCAGAGTGGACGAGAATAAAAGCCTAAACGCAATAACATTTTGAAGGAAAATAGAATATTGGAAGATACTCCCAGTCATTAGAAAAAGTAAATGCAAACAAGATATCGCTTGAAAAAAAAAAAAAAAAAAAAACTCAGTATTTATACAGAATAATGTATTTACAAAGAGTTTGACTGCAAGCAGAACACGAGCAGCAGCAGCTGCATACTTTCATTTGTTCCTGGGCCACAAACATCTGTCGCATTGTTTACTGCTACTTTCTTACTGGACAGAGCGAGCAGAGGAAGACTGCTGTGTGGACAGCCCCATGCTGTCTAAGGTCATACAGCCTGCGATGAACAGAGTCATTTTGCTGTATGAATCAATAAAACACTGATGGTTCCAAGTGAGACTTGCACATGAAACATCAGAACAGTGGAAAAACACAAAACTATGGGGAAAAACTGGGTGGCAAGTGGACATTTTAAAGAAACTATGCCTCACTTTGTAAATACTTGTTACGTACTGGATACAGCATTTGACCTTGCTGTGGTTGTACTACAGCACTTAGATTGGAAAATGTACTATTATATAATTTTAGGGATTTTTTTAAAATTGTAAAACATTTAAAATCTCAAGTTTTTTATTGGTTGTAGTGCCACCAAAACCACATCACACATCCATTAACTTATTTATTTGCTGTGTATAAAAAGAAGTAAATAATTTTGATAGGTCTTCTTTTTACGCAAGTGATTTGTTTGTCTGTTTTCTTCAGGAAAAATACACCACACAAAAACGTACAGGTTTACAGTTGTTTGAATTTGATCAGATCACATATCTTACACCATTTGGAAACCTCACTACAAAGAAAACTAAACAACATTGCGTAAAATCACAAAAGTGACTATATCTTTTCACAAATAGGTTAAAAAAACAAAGGTTTGCAAATGTATCCCTAAAAATTACTTTATTTCAATCTAAGTGCTGTAGTACAACCAAAAGTTAATGGATATGTGATGTGGTTTTCGTGGCACTACAAGAAATAAATGTAAAGTTATTGAGTTTTTTCAAAGCATTTTCTTTTGCCGTGGTAATTTGTTGATGGTCCCTGAGCTCTGGTCTGGTAGGCGGCTGCAGTGAAGATCAGAGAACGTCTCATTTTGCGGGAAAAACAGAGTGACATTGGTGAAAAAAATCAATTGCGTGGGAACGAGATAAGAAGTTGTTACCTCAAGTTACTATCTTGTTACCATGTGTTATTTTTTCTCCATGGCCACTCAGGGGTCCGTAATATAACCCGTCATAGCTTTACGTTTGACAAACGTGTTCCCTCCTCCTTTCCATTCCAAAGATGATAATGTGAAGTTGTCTTCACCTGTATTTCTGGAAAAAAAAAACCCAGTAGAACAGCAGACGTAACTGCTGAATAACAGGAGACGAGCAATCAATCTGACAGTGTAAAGAGAGGAGAGCATCAGGTTACCAAATCTCCTGGCTTTAAACAGAACACACAGGCTGCACAACATGCAGCTGGAGGAAGTGAACAAACAAACAAACAAACAAAAGGAAGAACAGTAAAGCTTAAACATTTTAACATTATTTTTTTAATTTTTTGACATACAGTTTTTCATAGTGAATAAATTCATAAAACTTAAATTAGGATCACAACTATGGAACTGAAAATAAAGCTTGGATGGTAAGTAACATGAGTGACAACCTTAAACAGTTACAGGTTGTATAAAACATCCTCCTTAAAATGTTGTATGCTCAAAAGCAAAGAATGTGAAAAACAAAACAAAACAGGTTAATAAGCAGTTTGATCTGTAACATGTAAAGCAACTGCTGCAAGTCTTTCCATAACCTATGGACACGTGATGCCAAACAGACCTGAGAGGTGAACCATGAAGCAAGTTAGCCACACTGTGATCAACGAAACTCCAGTCAGAGAGAACAGCTATCACAGTTCTGTTAACTCAGGCTTTCTGCTTTAAATGAAGGAGCGTTTACAGCGACTTGTGACTTTTCTTGTACATAAAATGGACCGATGGCATGTTACCTACTTCAGTCAACAGCTTGTTTAAATCGAAAGCAACGTACTTTTACTGCAAATGATGCAGAGGAATGCTGGTAGAAAACTGTTACTCGTGTGCTAATGTTTTTTACCGATCAATGCAGCTGCGTATTTCTAACATGAGAGCTGCGCATTAGAGCTGTTAAACTTTCTATATTTAAACATATCAATTGAAGTACATTTAGGTCTGACACTGGCTCATAATGCAGAGCATCCCTTTAATTTTTTGCCAAATCAATCCTGTGGCAATGCAGCACATACAGTGTATGATACTGTAACTGCATGGCTTCATTCAGTGGTATTAGGGCATATGGCTCAACAGGTTGGCAGATAAAACACATTCCCTCAGCTCAGAATCTGTATCGCTCACAAAGAATCATCGGGAAACTAATTGGTTAAAGGGAGGCACTTCTTCCAGTTAATTTAAATCTGAATTCTGAACATAGCCTGCGCTGGATCAGGTCAGCTCCACAGCAGGACTCAACATGGTGTCTGACTACAAGCTCAACAAGGCAAACAAGCTGATAGCGCTTCATAGTTCAGCCCCCAGGTCTGCCTCACAACACTCAAGCAACAAGATCACAGAGAAAGATCTTACAGAGTTCAACTTTGGTCCACTTCAACACACACGCACGCACGCACACACACACACGCACACACACACACGCACACACAGTGGTGCTCTTGACCAATAGCAAATCTGCTTTCGTGTTGTTGACCCTTCAATTGCATGCTCTCAAAAAGGCGAGGACATCTTGTTCATTTAGTTCTACACTATTACTCTCCAAGGCCACATCGGCTATATGCAGTGTTAGCACTCAGTCACTGTACAGAAGTAGATCAACTTGGGGGCTCATTTTTGGTTGGGTGTGTATTTGACCATTTCTGGGGCGGGCTGCACAAAGACTTAGACTGGTCTATCATGAATCTTGTGTTATTCAAAGACGTCTAATGCAAATAATACATTCAAGTCAAAAATAAAGACATATTTTTGCTGCTATCATGAGGCAAGCAGAGGCGTAATTGGCTCTATTAGTGGTTTACCACCATTATGCAGTGAGCAATGAGATGGAAACCAGTTTGTAGGGTCCACTGACACAGTAAACATTTGTGCCACCACTGTAGTCATGAAGGTTTTTGGTAAAAGGGCCTTGTAAAGTTTTTATGGCTCATATTTTCTGATCAACAGTGATACGCAGCTTAAAGCAACAGACACTAAATATGTAACAACTCTAGAGGGAGAAAGACTGTAGTTAAATATGTTAAGAGCAAAGTGTACTGTTTTGTGTTCAGGCTACATCACTGATGGATTCTAATTATTTTAACAATGACAGTGAGCACCACACTCACAGCCAATACACAGACGTTTCCACAAAAGTTTAATTAATATTCTGACATTGTCACACAGTGTTGTGTGCTTTATATTATCAGTATGTCAAGACTTTAGAGCGTGCAGCCATGCTGGCAGCCTGTGCTGCTCTGCAGTAGCAAGTACTACCATCAGTATACTAACATGTTTACAAGTACGCTACCTAGCTGATGTTAACCACAACTGCCATCTTAGCCTTAGTGTGTTACAAGAGTAAGTACAGGTGAGGCAAATACACCTGAATTGTCTTAGAAGCATCACATTTTTCAGCCGTCTGTTCATATTCAGATGTTTCGTATTCTTGGCTGTTTTCATCATTACTGATCAGTGTGGCGACATTAACTTCAGGGATGCTGAAACCAGACAACATATAAAGAGCACTCACCATCCAGTGCACGTTAACACACCAGCAAAAAAGCCCTGAGCACACGCAGGTTAGCCTTAAACCAAAGTATGTAACAAACTGAAAGTAAGGAGATCACCAAAGTGATTACAATTCATTCTGAGGGAAATTGAAATGTCTGTACCACATTTGAGGGTAAGCCACTAAATAGCCTTCCTTCATTCACACTGAACAGTGAATCAGCTGTGTCACCACAGGTTGAACAATTTGTTTGATAAAAGCCCATATCTCTGTGCAGCCAGCCCTACGTATTGCCTGGAACAACCCTTAGTCAACAATTTTTTTTTTTTTATTCCAAAATTACCTGTCCTGACAGCAAGTAACTGAAAACATCTGCTGTTTCGGTTCAGGAAAAGTACACTTTCAGAATCATGCACAACAATCCCCCCGATTCCACACGTTGAACATATTATTATGCAGAAGCTGTTAGGTTTTAAGAATGCGACTATGGCTGCCGTCATGGTGGACACTGCAGCTTTGTTCCAGTGAAGCTTTCAGTGAAGTTACTCCTGTTTGACATCTCCCTTCAGCCTCCTCTTGATACGAGAGTACGGGCTCAACGCGTCATCCATGATGAAGTCATACAGGACCTTCACCCAGGATGTGTACTGAGGCAGGTCATCATAATACTCTGCTGCAATTTTCTTCACCTGAAAACCAAAAAGAAAGAGAGAACACTGCCTTTAGATGACAGTTTTCTTATTGCACTTAACAGATTGCTCAGACTGTTGTTGCTTACATGTTTTAAACATATTTGAGTTTCACTTCTTTTGCAGGGTTGTGCTGCTGACGAGGCTCTGATAAATCTGTGGCTGATGGGATTTACTGTGGGTGGATAGAGCTGAGGAAGTCTATGGATCGTAAAGAAATCAAACAAATCTGATCCTGCTGACACTGTCTGACCTTTTTTAAAAACCCTATGTCTTAACTATATAGTTCTTCTATCAAAATGTGCCCGTTTCAGTAGAAAGTGTTTTATACATGTAGCTGCAAATGAATATAAGACAAATGACAACAGTTTATGACCAGAGTACCTTCATCTCCATTTCCTATTCTGAAACAACAATTAGAAAATGAAACACAGGACTTGACAAAAATGGATAACAAAACATTTTCTGGAAAAAAAAAAAATCTAATTTACAAGATTTCAAATATTTTATTTTATTTTTATTAGCAAGTTTTATATTTCCAGATAAGGAATACCCTGTTCAATAAGAACTAACCCTTCCACATTATAAACAACAGGACTGACATTTCAGTTAGACATAGACTTTATCCAGTCTTAAGGTACAGAAAGCCGTGCACAGAATAAGTGCACAACACCAGCGCTGTGTTTACAATATGTGGGCTAATGTTTTATTAGACCCTAACAGCCTGTTCACAGCCATGATTTTTCTCAATCTCTAAACTTTTCCAACATCAAGAAGAATGTACTGCAAAATAATTGCACATCTTCCAGTATTTTTCCACATCTACTAATTTGTCAACAGCACCTTAATCCTGTGGACAAAAAAGAATAATCAAAGCTTTACTGCACAACATCACGTATCAACGACTGCCTGTCTACTATAGTTGATAGTGGTGTGTTTTGCCTGGCCACTCACGGTCTGTTGGGAATTATTTGGTTCAAATTATGTCTCCTGGTAACATTAATTATAATCTTAGGAAGAGTAATTCAATCAAGAAGCTCAAAGAAGAAGCCTCCCTGTATTTCTATTTTTATTTTTATTTAATTTAATTTCAATTTCAAAATACAGAATTTATGTTTGGAGGTTATAATGTCCTGTTTACTAAGACGTGTTGTAGACAAATAAAGTCCATCCATCCATCCATTATCTATACACCGCTTGATCCTCACTAGGGTCGCGGGGGGGCTGGAGCCTATCCCAGCTGACTTAGGGTGAAGACAGGGGACACCCTGGACCCTACACTTAGAGACAGACAACCAAGCATACTCACATTCACACCTATTGATAATTTAGAATCACCAATTAGCCTCAACATGTCTTTGGAGAGAACCCACGCTGCACAGGGAGAACATGCAAACTCCACGCAGAAAGAGTCCAGGTGTCTGCACTGAGATGTGAACCAGCAACCTTCAGCAACATTTTATGAAAAAGTTACACTCAGGACAATTGAAACCCATTATAACTGCTGTTTTTGATCCCTCTCACAGTACATCATGATATCATGCATTTTATGTTACTATGCTTTCATTTGGATCTTTGGCTTCACAATTGTCATTTTTACTATTTTCCACTAGATTGTGCCATTTTTTCATAATCGTCCCATGAAGCAAATACAGGCTTCATTTGTTTTGTCACTTCCTGCTGTATTATAGAGCACTACAGGCCAATCGAATAAATGTCTACAACTGAAATGGTTTGGGGTGTTGGTAGGAATGTCACAGTGTGGTCTGTTTACATTTGCTTGTGTCTGTTTACATTTGGAGATATAGAAATTGTAATGGACTACAGATCACAAATTCCACCCTTCTGTCTCTTACCCTGCCTTAAAATGCCATGTATTAATATTATTTTCCACTTTAAATGACTAATTCATTTTAACCACCATCAGATTTGATCATAATTACCCACGAATTTTTCATTTTCTGGACTTTAAAATCCCACAGCCTCCAACACAATGCCAACATTTGGTTGTTATGATCAGAAACAATGTTTTTTTTTAAATAATTTAGTTGTCAAAAGTGAAAAATAACAATATATACCATTTTTATGGCAGTTTTTTGCGATGGGGACATTGTTGTCTTTTAGGCCCTGAATGTGACTTTTTGTTTGTTTTTTTAAATCTGACAATGTACCCATCCCCACCTAGCTGTACTCACCATTGGCAGCCTTCGTCCTGGGATGCTGGGAAAGTCATGGTGCTCATTGTGGTAGCCCACGTTGAAGGTGAGCAGGTTGAGGGAGCCGTAGTAAGAGTAGGTCTCATGACCCTTGAGGAACATATAGTGCTCAGCTATGAAGTGGCCAGAGATGGGATGCAAGCCCATTCCCAGCATAGAGCCAGCCAGCATGTAGACCACAGGCTTGGCCCCCCACACCCAGTAGAGCAGGATGTCAAAGGTGAGCTGGAAGGTCACATTGGTCACCTCCAGCTGACTGATGGGCTTGGGGTTGATGCAGAGGGGCCGGATAGCATAGAACAGTGGCTGCAGAATAATCCAGATGAACTTGCGAAAGCGTGTGCAGAAGAACCATCCTTCAAACTCAGTGGGGATGTCTACATCGACGCCATCTCCACCGAGGTAACGGTGGTGGTCGAGGTGATATCGTTTGAACGAGGCAGAGTAGGGCAGGCCAATGGGCAGGTTGGCAAACATGGCAAAGTAGCGGTTCCACATGGCTTTGTTGTTTCCAAAGGCTGTATTGTGGGAGATCTCATGAATGGCAAGGGTCATTGAGTGGTTAATGCAGCTGCCAAACGCGTAAGTCCAAAACAAAACCCATTTCCAGTCCAAGTCTTTGACCAGATAGAAAGCTAGAAACTGTATTGCCACCATCATGCACACAATCCATTTCAGCCTTGGGTCAGGGCCCATCAGGGACTTGATTTCTGGATATTTGGCTGGAGGGGAAATACAAGAAACTTGAGTTAAATTCAATGAAGAATCATATAACAATATTAAAACGTTGTATCTGTTCATCAGTACTAACAAAGCTGATTTTGCAAGATAAAGAATGGAAGTACCAGCTGCACTCCTTAATGTATGAATTTTCCATGCACATTCCTAGGTGTGGACTGGCCATCGGGAAGCCAGTATTGTAAGCCCCAGGTAAATTCTAGTTTGACGATGACATTGCACAAAACATAGTTACAAAGTTCTCGATTGTTCTGTCTACAGCAGATACTTTCCACCCTATTGATGCTTAATTTAGTAATTATTATTAAGAGGCATGACAAATAAAAAGTTATAGAAACACCTCTTACATATCTATGCAGCTCAAAGACCAACATCCTGATCTATGAACAGATTTATGGTGAATGATTGAGCTGCTAACTTTATATTACCAAAGTGTGGTCAAAATGTTCACATTGGGAAAGGTTATTATCCTGCAACAGCTGCATGTGTCGTAGCCATGTCCCACAGCAATGTTCACACAGACTAACATTAGCTTGTTCATAGCAGCGTAGCGAGATCCCGGGGCATCATAAGGGAGGAAAGTGGGACTGACTATCAGGCTGCTGGGGTGTGTGGAGCTCTTGAAAAGCCAGAAGTGAAAAGCTTGTTTTTATTTGAGATTTTTGCTATTTCTAAGTAATTTGTGCCATGACAACATTAAAATAAAAAAAAAAAAAAAACAGTTTAGAGACAAAGCTTTGTATCCCCCCAAAAATACAGTAACAGCTCTCTGTACCGGCCCGCTCACTCCTTACACAACACACAAAATAGGCTACTCAATCTCTGCACGAGAATTCACCTCAAAAAAGAACTAATTAGCTGAGTGACTACTGATGCTGGAGCACTAATGTGCACTGTGATAGAGTCACAACTTTCTTCACAAAAGGAAATCAGGGTACAAAAAAAAAGTGAAAGGAATCACACTGGGGGAAAATAAGTGCTAACTAATTTCTTGTTAAAAACAAAGAAAGACAGTCAGTATTTGTATAGCATAAAATAATCAGCATCATAGTTATTATATCACGATATATATCTACAGCGTTATTTAGCACAGCTTAACATCATTAAATACCTAGAGTTTCAGAAACAGCCAGCAGAGTGGAATAGAGCCTTTCGTCTGTTACTGACAACCTGAGACAAGGTGAGCTCATACAGTAACACTACAAGTCATCACTAGCACACAGACATTTAATAATGAGGTGCTGTTGACCTTATATTCAAGACTTTGGAACAATACTAAACCCCCTTTCCCAGTGAACTAGCATGACATGTTTAGTGTCAACGGATTCATTGCAACCTCAGGATTGATCGTATTCACAAGACATAACCAGTAAACATAAATCACAGGTGTACTCAATTTTGTTTAAATGATCACATTTCCTAACTTGTGTGTGTCAATGATCACAGGTAGGGATGGGTATCGCTAGAATTAGAATGGTAACACAATATGTGTGGGTTAGTGGAGCCACCCCTTGTTTCTAGAAAAACATTGAAGAAATCGGTCATGTGACCAAGCATTTTTGAAGATGTGTCAACTATACTCTCCAAGTGAAGACAGGGAGCACATGGAGTACAAGGTGAGCACATTTTAGTTACAAAACATTATTTTGCTGTTCACAGTTAATTTGTCATGTTTCTGTTTTATGAGTGTTGTGTCTGAGCAATTATTGAGACATCTGAAACAATGTCACACATGTTAGTGCATTAGTAAGCTACAGTCTGAGGTTAAACTGTTAGCATGAAGTAAGCTCTAAACTGTCTGGATAATGCACTTTTGTTAAAATGGTGGCAGTGGGATTAGTTGAGCCACTGGCTCCATCCGGACTGAAGGGCAATTTTGCCCTTCAAGGAGAAGGATGAGGGAATCATCCATAGAAACAGGTGATCAAGAAACTTTCAACACCTCAGAAACCTGAGGAAAGCACCGGAAGGGAGCAGAAGTTTATGTTTACCTGCATTGTGGATCAGTGAAATGGTGAATAGTTTACCAGTTGTGTGAGGAGAACTGCAGTGGATTTGGACTTAATGTTGATTTTTGCAGCTATGCCTATGTGTTGTACTGACAAGTGTGATGTTCCGTATTGAACCCAGTTCTGTTAGAATTACAGTCAGTTTTATCACTTTCTAACTTGATTTTGTTATGAAAATGTGAAGTACGTAGGCCTTGTTGAAGTTGTTTTGGAGTTGTACACTTTATTGATATTGAACAGGATTTTGTTCTAAAATGTGAAACCCTTAGGCCTTGCTGAAGACAAAGTTGTAGCCTTTATATATGTTAAACAGTAGTCCAGTTTTGTAAAAATCACAGTCAATTTTGTTCATTTTGAACATTTATTGTTCCAAAATGTCATCTATGGGCCTTATGAAAGGAAACTGGCTTTAAAGTTGAACATTTTATCTTTAAATACAACTTTTAAGAGGTCATTTCGTATTGAATTTGTCTTGCTTTTATACAGCATTATATGAGGAGAAATTATTATATCAAATTTTCATTTTACTTCAACATAATCAATGGCACAATTTACCCCGACGTATCTTCTCCAAAGGCTCAATTTACCCCTTGCCGGGAGCAAGATGAGCCAAGAAAAAACTTTTTTTGGAAAGCCATATTTTAACAACTGAGATCCAAACCAATTATTCCCAGGGATGCCCCACATCATGAAGTATATGTACATGTTTTATTTTGAGACATTACTGTCATGCCCCCACTGTAAAGACACCTCAAGTAAAAACTGGCTCATCTTTCCCAACTCTCCCCTACTTCCACCACCAACACCAACATTCAGCCTGAGAAAAACTGAAATACAGTATGACAGAGGTTATCTCCGTGCTCTGAAAATGAAACTAAAATGCTAAACAACAGTTCAAATCATGCTCTGAATTTCAGAACATGAACACAGTCGCACTTAAACAAAGGCTGGCGCAAGCTTAGCAGTCAAACATTTCTCCATCTGTAAGTGATTAACTTTTGCTCAATGTTTCAACAGGTAGACTATTTTCACTCTTACATGCAAATGAGTTGTCACTGTTGTTGCTGCAACCATTTTCTGCATGAACTGTAGTGAATCGTTGTCGTACTATTAAACGTTTACCTTTCCTCCATCGTCATGTGTGCTACACAGAGCTGCAGGTGAGTGACAAACGTGCTCCGGCCCTCACACACCAGGTGTTCGGTCTATCAGAGCTACAGACTTTCCATTTGCTAGTCTCCTTCCTTTAGATTCTCCTCTTTTTCATCTGACACTTGGGTTATTCAATTCCCTGTCCCCGACTCCCCAACTGCAACTGTGAATTTAATTTACTCTCTACTGTCCAACTGCTCAAACCTGCACCCACTTGTTCACTCACTCTCTTCCAGAATACAGCTAGTAAGAACATAGTACAGGAGTATCAAAATAACTGTACCAGTGACAAAGGTCAAATATGACACAAAATGTGAATAGTGAAAATCTCTAACCATGGTCAGAAAGTCAGACAATGGTGTGGCTGTTCAGCCATTTAAATTCCTTTCCTAAAGAAACCTCCGGGCCTCATGTATGTGTTCTCGCCACCTAAGAAGTGGGAGATTACAGCAGAAAGACAAGTCTCAACAAACACCAAACCATTTATCATCACTGAGCTGTGCTGCACTCCTACAAGCCAGAGAACGCATGACCATGACCGTACAGAGTTACATTTCCGACAGCATTAACCAACCTCATAACTCCTACAATGGCACAAATCCCCAACAAAGGTCAGAGGTCGTTAAAACACTTAGTATTTGTGTATGTCTCCAAGTTTGTGTTGTCTGATTTCTCTTAACAAGGGAATACATGGATAAACAACAAATAAGAGTCTGTACATAACTGTGACAGTATTTGTTCTAATCATAATGAAGCCTTTGCAAGTGGTGTAGGTCCTTAAATATTTATCCTAAAATGTTTTCAAAGGCCAAAGAAATTCAGCCAGGTCATGTTTTAGGCTTTCTGCATTGCAAATGCAGTTAGGTTCACAACTGTTTTCTGCAATACTGATACTTACCTGATGTAAAGCCCTTTTCACACATGGGATATGTAACACTGCTGGCTTTATCAGGCTGTTAAAGTGACGGCATTCTGTCTTTCAGACATAGGTCACTTGTGCGATAATGTTCCTACGGCTTTATTGCAGAGACTCTTACAGTGTTAAGAGAGAACTGTGGTGTGCATGTGGTATTTGTTTTACATAAGACTACCAATAAGTGTATAGATAATGGATGGATGGATGACAAAATCATTACCCGGGTCCAGGGTGACATTGATGTAATCCAATGCAGGAGTAATTATACTGATTAAACAATTAATCACTTAAAACGTCTTTTCTTTTTTTTTCCAAGCTAAAATTTTGCTTGTTGCCACACTTCCAATGTCTTAGATTTTCTCAGTTTCAGTACACTGAGTATCTTTGGGTTTTGAACTGTTAGACAAAGCAATGTAGAAAACTTCACCTTGCACTTAAGGTAGCTATACCTTTCTCAAGCATTTTACAGATGACACAAGCAAAGGATTAGTTTTTATTTAAAATATTAGTAGCCCTAATTAGAAGGGTCATTCCTTGTCAACTCGGTGAATGTGGCTGCTTGACCATCTCAGAATCTGTTGAAACTTCATAGGAATGATCTTTGGCATCTGAAACTGACATCTGACAATGTTTTAGCTCAAATTCAAAACATTTTCATAAATTTTGACCCAATAGAAATATTCAAGTAGACGATACATCCATCTCTTACTATCCTAAATTTCATCAACCTACCCATGATTCAAAATGTCCATCTGGTCGTTTTTAAATTACTTTTTACCTGTGTCAACTATGATGGCCATAACTCCCATTTCTACTAACATATGAAAGCTTTCTAAGCATTAGTAATGACACTCAGATATTATTCTCACAATAAAATTGATCAAATAGATCATGTGTATTAGAGATATATTTTCCTAATTTCTTGAAAATCCACTTCATATACTTCAAGAGATATGGACATCTGAAAGTGGCATCTTGTTCAATTTCTATCTTGTGAGAGATTTATTTATTTATTTATTTAAAAATGGAGTTTCAGGAAAAAAAATTTATAAAAAAATAATTAAAGCCGCAAACGGCATTGGTCGGGTCCTTGCTTTCCGTGGCAGTGCTACTGAGCCAGTTGGTGTGCACATGTATTTAACACACTCTGGCTGTGACTTGGAGCACGCGTGTAAAGTTTCAGGCCGATCGGAGCGCGTACAGCCCAGTTACACAGCACGTCCCATTGTATGGCGTTTTATGGCTTTTTGGCTAAATTGTATGAGCCGCCATTTTCACGCCGTCAGACTTTTGCAGAGCGTTTTAATAACTTTTATTCACCACGTCGTGTAGTTTGGGCTGGCCAAATTTCAGGTGTGTACAACTTACCCCCTTGGAGGAGATAGATTTTGATAATGGCCAAAAATGGCGCAAAATGAGTGAAAACCGCAAAAATCTGACCGTTTTTTTCAAAATGGTGGACTTCCTGTTGGGTTTAGAGCTTGGCGCCAATTGACTTTTTTGTGCGTCCCGACCTGCTACACATCCCCAACGAATCTTGGAGGTGTAGATGAAACGGCCTTCCAACGGCACCCCGTTGAATGCCGAAAACACCAAAAAAATGGCCAAAATGGCGATTGATCAATATTGCACGGGCCGCCATTTCTAAACCGTCAGACTTTTGCTGAGCATTTTGATAACTTTTAATTACCACGTCGTGTAGTTTGTGATGGCCAAATTTCAGGTGTGTACGACGAACCCCCTAGCAGAAGATAGATTTTGAAAATGGCCAAAAATGAGCAAAAATCGCAACATTCTGACCATTTTTTTTTTCAAAATGGCAGACTTCCTGATGGGTTTAGAGTTTGAAATGTGTACGACTTACCCCCGAGGAGGAGCTAAATTTTGAAATTGGCCATAAATGGTCGAGCTGATCACTGCAGCTCTTGTATGCAAGGAATATCTAAATACACGTGACAAAATGGTGCAGCAATTAAAAATATGAGTATCTTATATAGCATTGGATTATGGCACTGAATAACTTAAAACAAAGTATTACGATAAACCTTTACAGCCCATACCGTATTTGAAGAAGTTCAGAACGCCAAACCCTGCTCGACTGTACTTTCAATATCGGTTAATAATACTTACTGGCGTGGCCTTGCATACTTATTTAAATTTACTGTTGATTTACACTCATTATTGTAGTAAAAAAATGCAGGCCGCACAATGATTTTGGTTAATCTTTGTATTTACCGCTGGCTACTTTAAATGTATCTCAAAAGATGACATGGCACCTACTAAGAAGACATTTATGTGAGGCTCGGACTAGGTGTTCCGTTATGGTGAGCACATCTGTTCATGCAACTTTACTGAGGAGCTCGACAGCGGCTTCCTCCAGGGAGTGGCTGTGACTGAGCTGGGCAGAACCGTGGCTGCACACTGCTAGCCTAACTCCGATGTACATTAATCCAACTAGCTGTAACTAGTCCCATATATAACTACAATGTGTAACATCACAGTAGGTAGAGGCCCTCATCGTTAAAAAGGACGTCAGTTGTCCCCGACGGTTAACTGAGCCTCGTCCTGTTAGCTTAGACCGGCAAATACATAAGGAACCGTTAGCTTAGCTAGCCTGCGCTAGCAAATCGAGTCAACTGCTATGTTGGCGGGTTAACCAAAGTTGGTTGTTACAATAGACACCAAGTTAACGTAGTTCTATCTAAGTAAACAATAGCTTTATTTGAAACTTGGTTAAGCTAGCTCACCCAGAATCTCTTTTCTCCTGTCGGCATGCGGCTGGTCCGTGTATACCCACTCGTAGTCTTCACGGACGACTCGGTTCCCCATCTTTACTGTTGTGAGCTTAGACAAACACGTATCTGAAAATCACAAGATCGCTGTTTAAAAAGGAACTTATGTAATTCTCCTCCTCTCCTCTCCTCATACTGTGGGCCCGCCTGCTTTCCTGCCCCCAGTGCTCCTCCTACCAGCCGGGTGTCACTGGAACTACTTTCCCAGTTACACAACTGGAGCCTTCTCTGGCTAGTAGCAAGCTAATGCTAATTAGTAACCTGTCTGTTAGCAGGCTGATATTCTTCAACCCTCCTGCCCTCCTGGTATGTAAAGGAATAAATAAATAAATAAATAATTAAATAAATATATATATAAATAAATAAATGGCATGCCGCGTTTAGGAATTTATACAACATTATGTAATTATATATCCATATATATTAAATATTTGGTATGAAACTAATTCTGCTTGGCTTAATAAGTGTAATCAACATACAAAATGAAGATGGTTAATTTCACACATTTGCAGAAGTGGAAGGAGCTGGATGAAATGCATTTACATTCATATTTGGGATCCTCATCCTGGCTGGGGCCTATAAGTCAAAGGATGAATCAACAGCCGGTATGTGGGATGCAGAGACAGGCAGGGCTGTATTCTGTGCCACAATGTCTAAAGACTTTTCATATGCAAATCCCCACGACTCATTTGTCTTGTCTGATGACCCACAGCTGTACATCACCTGATGACCCCAGGCCAGTTGATGCAGAGACACCAATACACACTTTTGCAGGATTGATTACTGTAATGCCGTCCTATCTGGTCCAAGAAGACGATACTTTAACTTCAATTGCTTTAAAACTTAGCAGCACGAGTTCTCACTCAAACCAGAAGTAGAGCTCACATTACACCGGTTTTAAAGTCTCTGCACTGGTTAGCTGCCATTTCAAGAATTGATTTTAAGATCCTTTCATTGGTTTAGAAAGTTCTTAATGGTCTTGGTCCTTCATATGTTTCTGTTTTGCTTTTATCTTATGAACCATCTAGAAAATTCTGGTAGTGGCTTTTTAATGAAACCTAAAGCCAGAACCACAACATTTGATGAGGAAGTATTTTGTTACTGTTACTCGCCTTCCAGAGGACCTGAGAGCAGCAGAGTGTGTTGATATTTGAAGGCAAACTCTAAATCCATCACTTGAGTCAGGCTTTGGATTGTTGTTTGTATTGTTTTAATGCATTTTTATAAAGTCTGACTGACTGACTGAAAATACCAGTGTAATATTTTTTTTTAAAGTGTATAAAAATGATAGAATGGTTAAACTTAGCTAAAGCCTAGCTTTTTTTTTTTTCTTAAATGGAGTCTATAGAATGGGTAGCACACTCCTTATGACAAAAAAAAAAATCATGTGCATTCTGAAAACATAACTTGACGGGATGGAAAACAAAGACTTTAAAAGAAAATGTGACTCATATCTCATTATTGGCCATGGTTGACAACTCTTTAGCAAATGTTTTACAAATATTGATTGAATGCACTTAGATTTAGATCTGAGAACCTTTTTAAAGAAATCTGTGCTTTTGGTATGAACTTATGTAACCTTAGAGCATGTTATTCTAGGCACACTTGTGGCACGGAAGGCATTAAATAATGCTGCCGTTCTTCAGCTTATCTAAGTGCATGGCTGCTGCAGCTGCAGAACATGAAACAATATAAGTTTTCCTGTTCTGATCAGGATCGGCATAACAATGGATACAATCCCCCTAACATCGACAGGCAACCCAGGGTTTCATCAGCCACTGTTCCTGATACGCTAAATGTAGGCTGTGGGATATTCTGCTATATGACCTGTACATGAAGAAAAAAAAAGTAAGTTCAGAAAAGCTGGGGTGAAAATGGTGTAACAGAAAGTGGATTTGGATTATGCCTTTAACTTGTGTCTTTTGTCTGCAGTATGGAGCGGTGAATATTTCTGTACCGTTATGTTCTGTCTGGGGTTACAAAATACAGGATGCAGATTACATAGTCTAGTCAGGTGTAGTACCTGAACACAGACAGTCACAATCATTTCCCATAATCCACCCATGCCAGCAGCTGGAGAGGGGCACTGTCTTCATTAAAATATTTTTTTATTTAGACTATTTTTGCTAGCAGTGTGTCTGTATGGATGGAAATATCGGCCAATCGTTTCAGTTCCTACTGAAATGTGTCCATTGGATAAATTGCCATAAAATGTATTACAGACAGAAGTGTTCATTTCATGCTGAATTGTAACAGTCTGGTGATAATGACTTTATCTTGCACCACAATCAGGTTTGGTTTATCACTAATGCCTGCAAAAAGAGTTTCTCATTAGCCGCAGTAGTAAGTTGTTCACTACTAATGGAAGCACGCTAACACACTGTTTGGTGAATATGGTAAACACTATACTTCCCTTACTTCACATGTGAGCATATCAGCATTTTCCTCAAACCAGCACTGACCTGACAGAGCTCTTAGTGCAGCAGCACACTCTGCAGCATTCCCGTGTGTTCCAGCAACTTCACACAACTGTAAAACTAAATCATGTACCTTTTAATTTTGTACCCAATTAAAACCTTTAAAGGTTAAAAATAATTGTCTACTAAAGTTAAATAAGATATAAACTACCCCACAAAATTAACATGGACGCAGAACATTACAGTTCAAACAGAGCATAGAGTGTAAACATACAGAGATATGTGGATATGTTAAGTTTAGATTTAATAGGTTTGATTTGTACATTTGTAACAGTAATGTGTGCAACAAATTCTTACAGTTAGCCCCCAGTTGGCCAACTCAAAGGATTCTTGGTATACATAGATGAAATATTTCACAAGCTACACTTTAAAGTACATAAAGATTACAATACAATTTTCTAAACTGAGACGCAGTCTCAAATTAAGCCACTAGAATACATCTGCATGTGTTTTGCTGGCCAGTGTCATACACTTGTGTTCACCAAGGTGGGAACTGCAATTCCAAAATGTCTTCACCAAAAGTTCATGCTATGAGTGGTTCAGGTCATCCAAACTACAGAAATGCTTCAAACAAAGAAAAAAAAAAGTGCAGCCACAATATGGGCTCACAGCTAACTTAGCATCACAAGGCAAGAGACAAGTTTGTACATAAGAGTAAAGACTGCCAGTGCACAGAGATGACCTTTTCAAAAACAGCTGGGGAAACTAATGTCACTCTCAGCCATTCTACTGAGCAGCAACTTCTTTAGACATTTCCAGAACCCCTCTACTATTACTGCAAACCGTTCACATGTTATGGTAATTCCCTTACACTACTTGCAACGGGCTGAGTTTCAACTTTATTTTCAAGCTGGTGCTATAATAATGACACAACATAAAGGGTCAAAAATATTCAACATTTTCTCACTTCCCACTGGTGGCATCTATTTGTGCAGCTTGGCTAAATTTTAATACGCTTCCCTTATTGTTTAGGGATGGGCCAGACGTCTCAGAAACTGATAACTGCATGGTATCTCATCACATATGCAGTATTTTTTTCACATTTGTACTTTTACTTTTTAGAACAATACTGGTGTTTTTCACTGTTTCCACTTATTTACAGCTAATCCAAAAATTGAGGAGTGTTTACATGATGATCTGATTCAGTCTCTAAAAGCTCAGAAACCTCAAGAAAAACTGTGCATTAAAGTTCATTGCTGACATTGGAAATATGATCAATCCTGATGGCTCTGGAGGCTGTAAGGTGCAACTGAAAGCTATGTTTAAAAAAAAAAAAAAAAAAGCTGGAAAGTAGACTTTGAGTTAAGATTTTGGAAATGAATCCAAGTCTATGTTCTAATTTTTCTCCAGCAATTTCAACCACATCTTTCAGTTTTCAAAAAACGTCCAATGTGACAAAATTTAAGATAGCTTTTCCAGAGCTTTTTACCAACATCTAAAATTCTTCACCAGCAGATGAGTTTCCACAGATGTACCAGACAATATAATTTGAGCGCTAGAAGAAGCTAGTGTACCCTGACTACATATATTTTGTCAGCCTTAAGAAGAATAATTTCAAAAAAATCATTGCTATCATTGCTACAGAGCAGCTGCTCTGTCTACTTCTCTGATTTTGATCAACTGACTTCAGTGGACAAAAGAGAAATTTGAGCCTAACATGTCAACATGAACAGGTACCAGTTTGTTTGTTTTTTTACACCTTAAAAATCAAGGCAAGTTATGTGTGAGTGAAATGAATGGAAATCATTGGATGTCCAGAAAGTTGAGACAACAATAATAAAAAAAAAATTAACACTTAACGAACTTTGCAAAAAATATTTAGCTGTGTATTGTTAGTAGTGAATGGGCTGAATATGTGAATTATTTAAAAAGTCCCTCAAAAAACAGATGCCAAACACCGTTTTTCTATCAAGGACATTTGTATACTTTCTTTGTCCTCCTTAGCACAGCACATACAGTAATGTCTCCATAAAAGCAAAGCATGTACATCAGGTGCATTCAGGCACACCTGATCCAATAATGGTCCATTCTTGCTGGAAAACTGCTAAAGATGTGATTATTTCTCAAACAGCATGGCCAGTGGGTTCTGTTGACATTGCTGCATTTCGAAGGATCAAAGCCTATGATCTGTCAGTAGCTGCTGAGGCACAGTGGAAAAGAAACCCCCCTGACAAACACCTACCTCCATGTTTCACCCTCTGCCACACAGAGAGGGCAAGAGCCAAAAGCTGATGCAAGGACAAATGCTATCCGAACACTGCCCTATTTCTTCCTTTAGACCCCATCCTTCCTTTTTATGAGGATTAAAGAATTAATATTGAATTCAACTGAGCAACCTTTTGGGGACTAGATGATTTATATTGCACTTAGGCAAACTTATGAAGAAGCTAGTGTGAATAAAATGAATACTTGTGAATTTGGACCCAGGTGAAAACCCAGTGTGACATCTGTGATTACCAACAACATCCAACAATTAGGATTTTAACTTGTTGTTCAAGGACTGTCATACTTTGTATGTTTACTGTGATATCTTTTCGTTTCTTTTAATATGCTTCTAAAATATTTTTGCAGATTTTATTTCAGAAACAGTAACTGTATTAATAACATGTATAATGTGACTTCTTTTAACTAAAGTCCTGACCATCTGAATTTCATTTTTTTGCACACAGAAGTCTCCCAGCATTCTCACTAAAAAGCTGTAGTCATTTTAATGTAACTTTCAATAAATACTCTTCTTGCAAATGGCCGACCACCTCCCTATATTCTGATTTAGTTAAGTTACTACAATGGCTTGTAAAGATTAAATTCTTGTCAACAAATCCCATGTGCAGAGCAAAGCCAACAATGAACTCATTTCACAAAAAAGTGTTTTGGCTAAAGTCTAATATATCCTATTCCTCTCTGACACAGAGCTCCATTATTGTGCGAAAGCTGTTAAACAAACAACAGAGTGACACTGTTGCATTGCGTGACATGTTCTTACGTTACCACAAACTGAGTTGAACTCATTTCCACATGCGCTGTTCTGATGCCAGAAATACTCATTACAGCACCAAATGTAGAATAATCGTCTACTGAAAATAGTCCTCAATTAATAAAATAACTGCTTGATAGAAATTGCAATGTTCAGCTGCTTTAAAAATTAAACTATATATTTGTGAGATATAGCAAAGGTTTGTCATTTCAGTTGTTAGGCACTGATTGAGTGCTTTCTTGGAATTTGTTGACAAAAAGACAAATACAGAGTAACACCTGGCTTTAACAGTCCTTTAGCAATAAGTGGCAATCACATGTTGACCCTGTTAATGTTACGCTGCTAAGTCCTGGATGACATGCTGTGCTCAGTGTTTCAGCTGCGAGTCATTTAACACTACTGTCTAAACCAATGCCACAAGAGGTGTTGGTATCACGGTGTGCATGGCAGTACATGTGATGCGTGTTGGTGGGGTGAGGGTTGGCGTAGGGCATTGGGCATAAGGTGTGATCAGTCGGACCCTAAAATCAAAAAGAAAACTTAAACTAAACGACACAGAGTCTTTCATTTCTTGCTGCGCAGCCGTTTGGATTGTCGTGGAAGGTCTGAGCTCTTTCTGGTGCGTTTGAGCGATGAGCCTCCCACACCCTCTGGCTCTGTGGGCGCAGCCAAGTTGCCAGTTGCCAACACAGTAGCAGATGTGCTGGAAACAGTGGAAGACACAGCAGAAGTGCTGGATGTGGAGGGGACAGCTGTGGTGGGTCTGGGTCCTCCCATAGCTGCAGCACTACTGTCCATCAGTTCGCGGAGCTTGTGTTCTAGCTCAGCAAGGCGGGCATTTTGCTCACCAATCACCTGGGTCTGTTCCAGCAACTTCTGTTCCTGGTCTTGCAGCTGCTTCTGCTGCTCCAATTGCTTGACACGAATTTCCTGCATCTCTCTCCGCAGTACCGTCATCGATGCCCCGTTCACCTTAACCTGCTGCTGCACCTTGGTCATCTCAGAGCGTGAAGGAGTATTTTTAGCCAACAGGGACATGGTGGTCAAGGAGGTAGATGGACCTGCAACTGAGAGAATAGGACAAAGGTTTCAAGGTCTTCAGAATTTCACTGCTAATCATCAAATATTATCAGTCAAACCATTATTGGCTATGTCCAGCTCAGAGACGGGGACTCGAGTTTGTGACTCGGACTCGAGTCGCACTTAAGTCGCACACAGAAAGACTTCAGACTTGACTTGGACTCCTACTCAAAAGACTTCAGACTCGACTTGGACTCATGTCTTGGGACTCGTGAACAATCATTATGTTTTCTTTTTTCCTTTCCTTTCTTTTTTTCTGATCTTATTGTAGGTTTATTAGTGTTAAATATTTTGTTCTCAGCAAAACAACACCGTTGATTGTTTCCACAAAAAGTTACTGTGTCATTAGTAAAAAAGTCCAGACAGCCAATAAGTCCAATGATATTCCTTTTTGAGTTTTACTTTTATGCAAGGAATCATTTTTGTCATGCAAAGAAAGGTGCCTGTTGGAACAAAACTGGTCATGTTTTGAGATCACCAGTTTATAGACTTACAGTGTTTTTCAGATAACGTTGCAGCAACAGTTTTGCTTTTTTTATGAACAAATTTTTTAAAATTGCAAATGGCACAGAAGTAACATATGCAAGTGTTTAAAGTACTTTTGAGTGTTTTGTTCACAAGTTGTTTGCATTTAGCTAAAGTGTGATGTTTTGCACTAAATAGAAGGATGTTAATTAGCCTACAATGCCTCTGACTGGGAGAGGTGTGACATTTTCTATATGTTTGTTCTTGTTATGGTCCGACTGAGCCTGCACAATAGGGGTCAAGATATATCGTAACTGTATGTTCATGTTGGAAGAACACAGTTTCCTTTCAAGGAAGTCATTCATTGTGTGTTTTCTTCATCTTGCATTGCAGTACCCTGTTTAAAGTGATCATATAACAAACAACTAATCGGTCCTGATACTTAATACTAATAGATAAAGAAGGGATAATAATACAGTAGAAGCTTTGATTTCTTAGATATAGCTGTGCAGTATTCTTAGTAGACCGAATAGCAGCAGATGGTAGAAAGCTCATTAAAACATAAAGAGACATGAGAGATTTATTTTTTAGAGACTTGAGACTTGACTTGGACTTGCAAAAAAAGACTTGTGAACATCTCTGGTCCAGCTACACAAAACTTGTCATGTCCAACTTCAGTATCACCAATTTTTGCCCTCTGGGAGGTCAAATGAAGGCGAATTCATGCTTTCCACGTCCACACAACTACACCTGACAACAGAGTCCTTCGCTCTCAGACTGCAGGTCTATTGGTGATTCCAGAGTTTCTAGAAGTAGAATGTGAGGGAGAGCCTTCAGTTATCAGCTCCTCTGTTGTGGAGTTCTGGATTTGGGTTTGGGTTCTGGAGGCAGACCCCCTCTCTACTTTAGGGTTAGGCTTAAAATGTTCCTCTTTGATAAAGCTTGTAGTTAGAGCTGCTCAGGATCACCTGAACTGTCCCTTAGTTATGCTGCTATCGCTTTAGACTGCAGGGGGATTCCCATGATGCACTGGGCTTCTCTCCTCTCCTCTCCTCTCCTCTCTCTCTTTCTTTCATAGATTTATAGACCACATTACACATCACTAATTCAGTGTCTTCTCTGTCCCGTAGTTGTAGTTCTCTATGCCGGTATGTCTGTATCTGGAGCTAAACGTCTCACAGCCACTGGCCTAACCGATTCTCCAAAATGTTCATTGTTCTCTTATGTATTCTGACGCCAAGTGCTTTCTCAAATGAAATCCAAAGAAAACTTTCGATTTGTTGGGTTTCAGAGAGCCCAAACACAGTAGGAAGTCCTAATTTCTAAAGACATGCTGTGCTATGTCCGACACAACGCAGAAATAGTGACATTAACTGGGTGCTACAGCCTAATGTATAGCTCACCGCTATATCCCTGTGCTTTTCTGTGTTCAGTAAGTCCACATAGCTGACTGATGCTTACTTACTATAGTATGAATAGAACCACAGGCATGTCTGTCCTCTGCTTTCAAAGCCCTGGTCTGCACACATGGGCCAAAAGGTACGAATACCGATACAGAGAATAAGGGTCACAGTAAAAACGTGAATTTTGTGATCTTCCTCATACCATAAGGGTTGATACCTCTGCAGACAGAGAGGTTGTGTGAGGAGAGTCACCATTATTCCCACCTTTAGAATGTATCTTTAAAAGGGAAGTAATTGAAGTTGTTGCTGTCGGACTTAAGCGGTGCTTTGATTTACAAAAGGCTTTTCGTTGATGGCACCCAAACACAGGGAAGTTCTAAATTCTCCAGAAATCCTGTGCTGTCAGTCCACTGTGCTTTTTTTTTTTTTTGGGATATTTTTTGGGCTTTTCCGCCTTTAATGATAGTGACAGTGAAGATAGACAGAGAAACGTGGAGAGGAGAGTGGGGGAATGACACGCAGCAAATGAGCCGCTGGCTGGATTCGAACTGCGGCTGCTGCGTCAGGGATTAAAGCCCCTATACATGGGTCACCCGCCCCACCCGCCGAGCTATCCGGGTCCCAAGTCCACTGTGTTTTGATTACAATGCAACAAACACTGGCTGCAGACTATTCCACAGTGCTTGGCACACCTCAGAAATAATCACTAACGAGCTGCAAAGCTTTGCTGCAAAGATCCTGTAAAAAAAAATATCACAACCAGTCTTTCAGAATCATACACAGGAGGCTTCTATGTTTTTCAGTGTTCGATATGGGGCAGAATTCTACGTGTCTACTCGTGGCCAACACATTGCTTGCAGTATCAATACATGCAGATACCATGAGTTGGCCTTAAAGGTGCAGAACATTTAGGGTATCAGGTCACCTTAAAAAACAGCTACAAAGCACCTTGGCATTAATTCTTGAAGTCTCTGAAACTCTACTAGAGGGAAGGAACAATATGTTCTTAAAGATATTCCCTTATTTAGGGCTTTGGGGGTGTCTGACACGTCATTTCAAAATCTCCCATGTGTGATCAAGTGGATTTAGATCTGGTGACTTTGAAAGCCACACCATGTGACTCAGATTAAGGGTTATCATATTGGATTTTCACTTCACAATTACTGTGGCCAAAACGATTCATGAAAACAAGCTAGATTATATAGCTGAAAAAAGGATCACAACAAAGTCTAAAGTGGAGTAGATTAAGGTTCCAGGTGACTGGCCAGGACCACACATCACCGGATGGGACCCTCACTGCTGTCCGCATGCACCCTGAGTTGAAGTTCATCAAGTGGTTCCATAATCAAGGGGTATCGAGGGAGCACACTCGGGCTTTGTCCATGTAACCGGAGCTTTGTGTTTTTGGTTTGTGCTTTCACGGTGGCTTGCATATGTGTGTGGAAATGAAACTATCGAATATTCTATAAAAAACAGTTTTCCTATTGCTATTAATGAAGAGTCTATCGCCAGTACATATTGCTGCAGTTGTAACACCCAGGCCTAACAAAAACTGTAAACATTTGGATAAAACAAAAACAAACAATGCTTGTAATTGAACTACAATCAAAATATGCATGTAGCGAAGTGGACCACATTACTTAGTATCATATTACCATGTTATCAATATTTCATTCTTAAAATTCATTGTTAAATATCTTTTTCAAAATATCATTATTGTTGTCAATATTGGTATACTGCAAACCCCTAGCTCACGCTTTCATACTCATCCGATCATTTAGCGACCCCACGTGCCCTATGGATAAAGGCGTTGTCATTCTGTAAGAGCACTCCCATAGAAATGTCTCATCATCAGAAAAAGGCAATCACTCAGAACAACTTTATATTGATTTTCAGTGACCCTTCCAACGAAAAATCAGAATCAACCGTTCCTGGTAAGCATTTTTATACATGCCAGAGAGCATGACTGGATGCTAATTTTTTAATTGCACCATGCATTGCGCCTGTGTGAAAGCACCTGTATTTGTTGTGTTTCTCTACAAATTTATTCAGGTTTTCCTTTTAATTTGTTGCCTGTCTGTACATACATGGACCAAGTCAGGTGTTCTCAACCTTTCTGCTGCCAAGGCCCCCCAGGGGGGAAAACACTTTGCAGATGTTCCTTTATCAGGGTTGAAACTCTGAAGGGATAGAATCCAACTGCATTTGTGCTGGTTCTATATTGTTATATTATAGGGTGCAAATTGGTATACAGCATTCCTCCAATGCTGTGCAGGTACAAAATTCTACAATAAAAAGGCAACATTCCTGCCATCAGTAAAAAACATCCCAAACAGTGGAGCTAAACAGGATATCTTCTAAAGCTCCTGGACCACATGAGGATCATCAGCAGACATCAACAAAAGATAACAAAGCTGACACAAACCTGGAGTCAAATCAATGAAACCAAACTGTGTTATAAAACTTTTAAATTATTTCATATATTTTGTATTAGTCAGAAAGGAAGAAATACTTTGATAACAATAACTGCATCAAAACTGAAAATAAGCTACCAGGGCTAAATCAGCAATTGCAGGTGACTTTATGAGTGACCTCATGAGTCAGGAGAAACCCGTTCAGTACCTGGTGCAGAGCCAATAAGGCGGCCGGACAGGTCAGCCCCCGGCAGCTTCTTCTTTAGAATAGGGACAATCTTCTCATCAAAGTACTCCATGGCCATAGAGGAGATATCCCTCAACTCCTGCAGAACCTCATGAGCTCGCTGGGGGGCTCGGGTGGAGTTCACGTAGCGTAGCACACGGTAAATCTCATCTATCACCTGATAAGACACATCAGAACATGATCACAAACAAGAAAGAAAAACAACCCAAGACACAAAAAAAATGACTGAAGCCAGACGGAAACAGGCTTATCTAACTTCTAAGGAAACGTAGATCTGACTTTTCTAAAATAAAACACATATTTGGCAATCAAAACACCACACATTTACATCAGTACATGCAGAACACAAAATGAACACAGGATCAGCACAAACCACAGGGAAACAATGTGTAGATCAAAGAAGTTGCTGTCAAAGTGTTAGAATGCTGACTGAGCATTGTAAGGAAAAGTACACTGAAAAAAAATATAAATGCAACACTTGTTTTTGCTCCCATTTTTCATGAGCTGAACTCAAAGGTCTGAGACTTGTTCTATGTACACAAAAGGCCTATTTCTCTCAAATATTGTTCACAAATTTGTTTAAATCTGTGTCAGTGAGCACTTCTCCTTTGCTGAGACACTCCATCCACCTCACAGGCGTGGCATATCAAAACGCTGATTAGACAGCAGGATTATTGCACAGGTGTGCCTTAGGCTGACCACAATAAAAGGCCACTGGAAATGTGCAATTTTATCACAGCATAATGCCACAGAAGTCGCAAGTTTTGAGGCAGTGTGCAATTGGCGTGCTAACTGCAGGAATGTCCACCAGAACTGTTGCCCGTGAATTCAATGTTAATTTCTTTACCATAAGCCATCTCCAAAGGCGTTTCAGAGAATTTGGAAGTACATCTAACCTGCCTCACAACCACAAACCACATATAAACAAACCAGCCCAGGACCTCTGGACACTGTGAATCGAGTGGTCCATGGTGGCGGTGGGGTTATGGTATGGGCAGGCGTATGTAATGGACAACGAACACAGTTGCAGTTTATTGATGACATTTTGAATGCACAGAGATACCATGATGAGATTGTGAGGCCCAGTGCTGTGGCATTCATCCACATGTTCATCACCTCATGTTGCAGCATGATAATGCACGGCCACATGTTGCAAGGATCTGTACACAATTCCTGGAAGCTGAAAACATCCCAGTTCTTGCATGGCCAGCGTACTCACCGGACATATCACCCATTGAGCATGTTTAAGATACTCTGGATCGGCATATATGACGGTGTGTTCCAGTTCCTGCCAATATCCAGCAACTTCACACAGCCACTGAAGAAGAGTGGACCAACATTCCACAGGCCACAATCAACAACCTGATCAGCTCTATGTGAAGGAGATGTGTTGCACTGCGTGAGGCAAATGGCGGTCACACCAGATACTGACTGGTTTCGAAACATGATACAGTATCCTGTAGTATCCAGAACTTGAAGAATAAAGAAACTATGTAACTAATTAGGCAGTGTAATGGCAAAAAGCAAAACCGTGATCAATGTGTGCTTGCTGTAGTGCTCAAAACAAGCATTTTAATGAGGTATTTCTACTGGTCTTCTGCCTGTAAAAATATTGCGACTGCTACTATGTGTGCCAGAGGCAGCTGAGCTAACCTTTCCAGGGATGAAGCAGCAGAGGTTGGAGTCGACATATTTCATGAAGGTCATGTTGAGCAGTGAAAGGCGTGTCTCCACAGCAGCCAGGATGTCAGCATGACGGGCCAGTGAATGGTTTCTCCGCTCTGACTCTCGCCTGGTCACAAAAAATAAGAAACACACTGGTGAAGAGAACTTCCAATAAAGTTTAATGTATAAAAATGTAGAACTAAATCACAACTTCACTGACAGCTGGCTAAGTGTGAATTCAGGAAATATGTTGCTGTGCGTACATGAGTGTGTTTAATATGTGTGTATATATACACAGTTGAAACCAGAAGTTTACATACACTGTATGAAAAGACACATAACATTTTTTTTCCCTCACTCTCTGACATTAAATCAAACTAAACTTTTCCTGTTTTAGATCAGTTAGGATTACCAAAATTGTTTCTATTTGCTAAATGCCAGAAAAATGAGAGATTTTTTTTTAGAGAATTTTTTATGACAGCATCATATTGTGGGGGTGTTTTGCTGCAGGAAGGACTGGTACACTTCACTAAATAGATGGCATCATGAGAAAAGAACATTATGTGGAAATATTGAAGCAACATCTCAAGACATCAGCCAAGATGTTAAAGCTTGGGCACAAAAGGGTCTTCAAATGGACAATGACCTTAAGCATACCACCAGATTAGCTACAAAGAGGCTTCAGGACAACAAAGTCAATGTTTTGGAGTGGCCATCACAAAGCCCTGATCTCAATCCTGTAGAACATTAGTGGGCAGAGCTGAAAAGGTGTGTGGAGCAAGGCAGCCAACAAACCTGACTCAGTTCCATCAGTTCTGTCAGGAGGAATGGGCCAGAATTTATTAAACTATTGTGAGAAGCTTGTGGAAGGAAACCCAAAACGTTTGACCCAAGTCATACAGTTTAAAGGCAATGCTAACAAATACTAAGGAAATGCATGTAAACTTCTGACTTTGAAGAAAGTAATAAAACTATAGTACTGGCCTGTACTATACTACAATCATGTATAAAAACTAAAATGTACTATATGGGGAACTTTGTAATGACATACTTTCCTCTAGCGTTTTAAGAAGAATTTAGAAAACAATTTTCAGAAAAAAAAATAAAAATAGCTGCTATGTCAACTAAGGTGATGGCACAATTTGTCACATCTCTCCTTTGGGATCTCCCAAGTGTCACCTGACAAAAGAATCATTTTCGGGGAAACACATCAAGACTTAGCAGGAAAGTTGTTTAGTACCCAGGGGTCCATTTTCAAAGGGGGTCCATATGCAATACTATACCTGCCAAAGAAAGAGGACTGGCAGCGACCTTCCACTGAAGGATATTATGCTGCCCTAATCTCAACTTGATTATAACTCACTTGAAAGCTTTACTCTTAGCTTCTTACATCCAAGCTGTTAAACACAAAGACCAGTTCTATTTGTTGTCAACATTTTTATCTGCACTCAAGACTCCTGATCTAGTGCTTAGAACAGATTGGGTGACTTTGACATTCATGTAGTGGTTAACAATGACAGCCTCAACACTGCACTTATTTTATTACCAAAGTAGCTTCTCTCCATATGTAAATAAACCCACTCTTATTCTTTTTTTTTTTTTTTTTTAAGTTTTATTCACATCCTTGATCTTGTTCTGTCATACTGGGCATGCAATATCATTTCCTCAAAACCCTCTTTTGTCTGACCATTTTTAATAACTTCTGAATTAACAATAAAGAACTACACAGCAAACTTTTACATTGGACTCTGTTGCGCCACCACCATTGTCTAAAACTCTAGTGCTGCCTGCAGCTGACCAGTGACTGGAACCAAAAACAGCTGGCTCACTCTGCAGAGTATTACTGAAGAAAAACATTTGTTACAATCAACTAAAATTATAAAAGCATGCAGTGTTTAAATATATTTTGCTCAATACGTATTTCCAATGTCAACATCATGGACTAGCCGTGGCAGCCCTAGTGGGCAGTAAATGGCTAGCCATGCAAAGGTGAAATATTGGAAGTAACGTCTTGCAAAAACTCACTGTAGGTAAAAAAAAAAAAAAAGATCAAGGTCACCCACAAGCAAACGATATAACATAAGCAAACAATCTTTGCTGAACAGCTCTGTACTTCAAACGATTACATCTTTTCTATCCTCATATTCCTTAGATAGAACTGCATCTGCTGATATTGTCCAAACCTATTTCTGCTAATATTTTCTATTTGCAAACCTACTTCTTTGAACTAGACTATGTTTTTGCTCTCAGTGACAAGTTTGGTGTCAAACCTATAAATAATTACAATGGACATCATGTCAACAAAGAGTTTTTTACACCGAAAAAAATATCTTGAGAGCATGCTATGACGCAAGCAGGATTTGTTTACCAGTTTGATAACCATACATTACACAGCCAAGTATTCAATATCCCCATGTTCCTTATATGAAGCTGCTTCTGCTGACATCTATCACACACACTTTTTGACTGTTTCTCAGAATATGGATAAATATGCAAATCTCACTTTCTCATAATAGTTTGCACTGTCAAAGGTTTCTATGCAACCTCCTGCGAATAATTAATATGCACATTTGGGATTTTCACATTTTTTGCTATAGATATGATTTTGACACTTAATAGCATGTGGCCAGTTTTTGATAAAACACGAACAGTGTTCTTAAAAATAAGCTTCAATTCCATTTATGGTCTCCTCCCTCCCTCTAGTGGTTATTCTGGCCATGACATTAAGGAGACTCTTCAATATGAATCATTCGATTGTAATGTAAGATTTGAGTAAGTAACAAGGAATTAATTGTAAGTTTTTTGTGATGTCCTGTGAAGTCAGTGAGGAGGCGAGGTGACCAGACTTAATTTGATTTGAAACATCATCTGTATACATGATTTTCTAAAAAAAAAAAAAAAAAGTAAGTTTATTTGAATAAAATGTCTATACCTAGAAATATTCCAGACAATGGTCTTGGCTTCTTTCAGTATGTTAAGTTGTTGAAGCTCCATTTTTGGGTGAAGCAATAACAAGTGAGGCTGCACTCAGACAGTACAGAGTTTTGCTGGGATAATATGGTAATATGAGGCCTTTTAGACACAATGGAGCTGGGTCTTCACGAGTCTGGTTTTTGAAGAGAAGGATTTTAAAATATATTTTCGATTTTACAGAAAGCCTGCGTGGAGAGACTTACATAGGTGAAAAGGTGAAATATGAAAACTCTTGCCAATTCCTCTATTTTGGATTAACTGAAGGATTTGTCACAGGTGTTTCAAAATTCAGATAATAAGCAATTACAATGGCAATATGTAGTAATATATGTATGAAATAGTATTAAAGCATCATGTTGAGGGTGTGCAGCAACACTCTACAGGCAAAATATACAGTAAATTTGGTTTAAAAAGCTTTAAGTAACCTGTCATCTTTTTGTTGCTCAGTAATGAGATGAAAATTCCCCTCAGTGTAAGGACAGAGCTTGTCCTGCCACTGTGCACTCTGAAAGGTTGTTTGAGCCGAGATTGGCTATACATTGGTTTTGTAATACTCTGATACCACTTACCTAAACACTTCTGCAGGACACAACCACTCCTTGATGGCAACAGTATTCACTAATGGCCTTGGCCTTATTCAGCAGGACAAAGTGTACTGGCACAGTGCAAAAATGATTCCAGAATAGTTTGAGAACCATAAAGAGTTGAAGGTGTTGACTTGGCCTCAAAAAAACCATAGACCTCAATGTGATCAAGGGATGTCCTGAGCAAAATGCACAGCAACCTCAACGATTTAATGGATCAGAATGCTGTACTATGAAGCAAGCTTGACATAGCCAGGCTTTCTTGTGTAAGTCTGTTCGACAAAAACTAAAGCCCCAGTCAGAGATCACAGGTATCAGGAAGGTGGTGATCAGCTTTCTTTGTTAAGTCAGACTTTCTGCTTCAGACTCTGTTCACATAAAAGGAGGCGTTTAACGCGTCACGTGACTCTTGTTCTGCACAAAATGAATCAATCGTGTGCAGTTTCTTCAATCAACATGTTGTTTTAATGGACAACAATGAGGATATAAAAAATGTATATCGGTAAAAAGCGCAGCAACTGCAAATGGTGCAAGACAGAAATGCTGGTAGAAAACTGTTCAACGTGTTGATATATTTATTTTAAAGATCAATGCAGCTGATTACTGATAACTGACAGCTGCACATTAAAGCTGTTCAACTGAATATAAAACATGATCTTGTATTGAAGTGCATTAAGGCCTAACACTGTCCCATAATACAGGAAATCACTTTAATTTTTGGCCAAATCAAAGTAAAATTAAGTTAAAGTTACTGATTTATTATTCTCTCTAACAAATACCAGGAGAATAATCTGTTTTTAAACCTGTGTTTAATCACCTGCAGTCTCAGCAGAGTAAACGGACCAAACATAAAAACATATTTATGTGAATTCTGCATCACCAGCTGAATACATGTCTGGTTCACACGGCAACGCAATACATACAGTGTGTGATACTGTAACTACATGACTTCATTCAGTGATATTAGTAACGTACAACTCAGCATGTTTGCAGATAAAACACATTCCCTCAGCTGAGAATCTGTAGGGAAATGATTTGTTTAAAGGGAGATGGTCTTTCCAGCAGATTTAAATCTGAAACTCTGAACATAACCTGCTCCGGACCAGGTTAGCTCCACAGCATCAGTTACCATGGAGATCGAGTAGGTTAAAAGAGAGTCCACTTTGTGACACTGAAAACTCTGGCTTTAAGCTCAACGTACCTGTTAATCCACTAATCTCGCTTTGTAGTACAGCCCTCTGCTCCAAATGTCTTAGTGCCTGTTACCACAGGACACCTAGAAAGGTCTGTGGAGTCCAGTGGGTTATAGTTGTTTTGGCAACACAAGGGGGACCTACACAACATTAAGCTTACTGGTGTATCTACCCATTTTTTTTGCCTTATGGCTGACTTTCTGTAATACCAACACCAACCTCCAGGGCTTAAAATACTCTGATAGAAAAAGACTAAACCCTAAACCAGTCTTTTAAAGGTCCCGTCAGAAACACAGGTGATGTTACAAAGTCCAGGTTATTTCACAGTAAAGAAAAAGCTCAACAGTAATTAACATCCTCTGCCTGCAAAGTTTGTGCCAGTGAGATACTGACCTGGGCAGCTGGGCTTTGACCTGTCTCTGGCACAGGCTGTGGTAACGCTCCACCTTCAGGAAGCCCTGATTCAGGACTCGTTGGCAGATCATATCCATGCGCTTGCACACCTGGAGAAGTCAGATCAGAGAGGCTGTGAGTATGAAAACAAACAGAACAGCGCAGTACTTTTGCGTCCAGTGACCGAGGACTTCTTCTGGGAGTAGCTGATATCTTAGCATTTTTTCCAAAAACAACAAATCTTGGCTTCTTACCATAGTTGTTTGGATAAAGGACAGTGACTACAGTCTGTAGTGCCATAGTTTTAGGAACTCAAGATTTATGATAATACTTGGAGGTTGTAAAAAACAAACCAAAAATAATAATAATAATAAATTAAGTCAGACTATTTGTAAAGCAATGGCTGAAGTTGTAGTTTAGAGTACACTAGAGGAACTCTAGGATTGCATACACGTCTTTAAAAGCAGGAAGATTTTTTTTGCCAGCCACAGTCCCTTTACCTTCTCTCATTACTGAGTTAAATCAATACTAAAGTCATGCAAACCCACAAGCTTACAGGGCACCAGATGTTAGGCCCAAAGAGACCGGAAGCAAGGGCAAGAGTTTTTTGTCTTTTTTTAAGTCACAAGGCTGAGTCAGTAAAAGGGATTTCTTGTTTGAGCCCAATCATTTAATACTTACCATCTTCTAAGACTGAACTTATTGATTTTATTGGGGTTTTGTTTCCCACATCAAGACATACAAAGAATTTGCAGCATGAACTAAAAGGGTTTGGCTAAAACATAAACATTGAAGTTAATGTGCACTGGGGTGCATGTGTAATTAGCAGGGGACATTATATGTCAGTTTTCAGGGAACTGTTAGCTCCTCTGTCTACACAAAAACAAGGGTTTTATAAAAAGGTAGAAACTGAGGCTGAGAATTTTGCATTGCAGACACCTGTTTAAAGTAAGAGCCTGTGCAACACAATCCGCAATAGCCTGTAGGATACGATAAATTACATTTGTACGGTCTTTATCATACTGTGTGAAGTGCTTTAAGATGTTGTAAATGGGCGCTACATAAATACAACTGAATTGAATTATCAAATCTTTAAAATTATGCATCTATCAGAATGACGAGATGGGCCTTCGAAAGAATTGCACTGAGACGGAAAGTTCGTGCTAGAGCAGACCATAGAAGGGTTTAAAGCCAGCTCTATCCAGCAATGTGCGAAGTGCAGGAGTGCTGAGGAGAGCAGCACTCCGTCGACCTGTCCCAGTCACACGCAACACACTTCAGTCATCTTACTGTCATGGATTTCACTCTCCTTGGCCACTACGTCCTGCCAATGAGGGAACGACACACGGAGAATCGTGGGCCACGGCCAAAATTAGATGGCTGCACAAACACAGGCTTTAAATACAACCCACGATTACTTCCACTATTTTTTTTTTTACAGAACTAGTAACCAAAAATCAGCACTGCATGTAGCTAGCATTAGCGTTGCTCCCCTCTAGCTGGCTTGTTTTTGTTCTCCTTACCGACCGCAGAAGGCTGATTTCATCATAAGACAGAAAATTGAGAATCGTCTCAATAGCCACGATGGGCAGTCCCAGCAGAGGGTTGTTCTGGTGCGGCTGGTCCGGTGGAGGGGTGGACTGTCTGAGTGACACCGCGTCCGAGTCCAACGACCCAACACATCCATCAACTCTTTCTACGACGGTCGCCATCTTGCTTTGCTAAGGAGGAGGCGGAAGTGACATCCCAGTGGGCGATTTACCACTTTAAGGGACTGAACTCAGGCACAAACACACGTGTAAACAGCATGTATGTAACAGCAGTGGTGAGTCCCTTTCGACTCCTGGAATCATTGAAACACATGCGTCTTTTTCCAAAAAAAACCCCCAATCATTAATTTTGGTTCTTTTATAGTCTTCTGTAAATAAAAATATACAAACAACAATGCTAATATTTGCTTAAGTCACTTGGCCATTTTCACCTCAACTAGGCACTTTTGGTAGCTGTTCACAAGCTTCTGGTTGTATTTTATTTTTTTACCACTGCTCCTGACAGTATTGGTGCAGTTCAGCTAAATTTTTGGCTTCCTGATCCAGATGTTTGTGTATGCTATCTGACCATTCACCCATTTCTGTCTGCCTCATCAACCAGAAAATGCAGATAGAGAAGACAAAGGTGGTCAATGGGTATCTCAACAGCACCCAAATGTGCAAAGAAGTGTGTTACGGTCACTGCTAACACTCGCACTGCTACCTGGCAACAACATGGGACTGCTCATGCTCACAATGGTACTATAATAAATCACTGATGGACTTTTCTTCAATTCAATTTGTAATTTGTTGTCTTGGTCTATTCTTGCAGTTAGAATATAGATATGAGATATGAAGTGTAGGGGAGAGAAGGAGGGAGCTCGGGTGGCGATATACCAGGTTCTAGTAAACCTGACAACCACCTAGGGCCTGACCCCAGGAATGTTAAATCTGAAGTACCACCTTAGTCATACACAGGTCACAGAAGTTCATAAACAGAGAAGACAGAGACATGGTTCAAATCAGAAGAAACTATATTTATTGGATAATTTATTGAATAATTGGTTGAATGCTGAATGTCTGGAAGTGCCTGCAGAGAGAGTAGCCTAAAAACAGAATAAGTTGAACAGATGAAAATACACCAACATATTTACAGCATTAATTTCATTCTATTTAACAGTTAAACTCTAAAAAAAAAAAAAAAAAAATACTTCCAGAACTATAAAATTAGCTCAGGGGGAGGAAAGTGGACAGAAACCAGCAGGGGGGAGGTGGAGAGTTACTTAAGTGTTCTAGGAGTACCACAAACCACCAACCACTCATGAGCTTACAGCAATATGCAACCATTACACACCAGTGAAGGGTACATTGCCCCAGTGCTTTTACCACTACAGCCTGTGAAGGAAAAAACACAGTAGAGTGGTCAACCTCCACCAGCAGCTGGCAACCAGCTCCACGAAAGGTCCTACTCCAACACAAATATAGGGATAATTGTCCCCCCCCCCTAAAAAATAAAAATAAAAATAAAATTGTTGGCCCTAAAATACAAAACAGAGGCCAACACAGATTACCTTTACGTATCACAGTCTTGTTAACTGGCCAAAACAAGACATACCTTGGTATAATGGTGTCTTAGTTACTCAGACCTTGAAACAATCCTGACTACAGCACCTACCTCAGAATCACAGAGGAGCCCATGTGCTAACCATCAAGCAGAAACAAAAGGCAGCCATGATGCCACTGGTGTTTTAAATACCCTAAATCAGGGAAGGATGAGTCCACCTAATTATATGGTGGTGTTTTCAACAACTATCAGGAAATAATAAATTTGGCTGACCACAAATATTCCTGTCATTACTGCCGACGTGAATAATATTGATTTGATGGCTATTGTGAAAGCTTTCAAGCTTGGAGATGTTTGAAGATGGATTCATTTTTATCATGCTTAATCCACAGTAACCAGCGTTTTAATCGTATAGCTACTCTCTAAGTTAAATAGGTGGAAGTGCATGTAAATGGGGCTGCAAGGTGTCTCGGTGGTAAGCACCGTTGCCTTGTAGCAAGAAGGTCGGCGGTTCGTGTACCAGTGAGAACACCCGGGATCTTTCTGCGTGGAGTTGACATGTTCTCCCCATGCAGCGTGGGTTCTCTCCGGGTTCTCCGGCTTCCTCCCACACATTCCGAAGACATGTTGAGGTTAATTGGTGATTCTAAATTGTCCATAGGCGTGAATGTGAGTGTGCTTAGTTATCTGTCTCTGGCTGTGGCCCTGCAGTGGACTGGCGACCTGTTCAGGGTGTGATCATCTCATCATCAAGCTCTGCAGAAGCCTGATAACGATCCTGATCATTTGAATCAGGTGTGTTAGAAGAGGGAAACATCTGAAACATGCAGGATTGTGGCCCTAGAGGACAAGGATTGGACACTCCTGAGTTAGACACATCGGTGTCACAAGTGGCATACATGTCACCTGAACGTTCTTAACTAGGTTTTGTAGCTCTTTTATAAAGCATCTTTATAACCTGGCAAATAGCAGGATTACAGAGGGAGGGAGAGAATTGCTAGGTGTCTATATAGGTATTATTAGTGGCACGGGCTGAGCTCGAGGCCACTATTGT